TTTTCTTTTTTTTGTTCTTCTACTCTCAATTCTGCTTATATAATTAGTTTCCTTATCAATGAGATCCCTTAAATGATCCTTATTTGACTGTGCCATCTCTTTTCTGTAGGGAGTTAGAGTGCTGCATTCATCCTTTATCCCTCATGACTGCCAGTTATTTGGGTCACTCATGAATCCAATGAGCAATGCTCTGTGCCTCTTGTATAACTACATTTAAATGGTCTCAGGTCATTTACTTCTATTTCACTCCCAGCCTCCATCTCTTTTGACAGTCAAGGAACTCCAGTAACCAAAAGGAGAAAGATAAAACTTTTCCACTTATACCACCAAAACATAGGTCCTGTACATTTTCAACACCTTATCTGTTTCAGAGGCCCACATCTGTAATTCTTTTTGCAAGAAGCCAAGAAACTAGGGCAACTGGCAGGATATAAGATATCATCACAAAGCTGCTCAGGCAAATCTAGAAGGAACACCCTGTTAGTAATAACCACACCCACAGTTCCTTGATATGAAATATGGGGTCATTTCTATTAGAACAAGAGAGATCTACCAACATTAATGTCCACCCACCAACTATGCACTAAAACAGAATGACACAAGTGCATACTTTAGCTGATTATTACGGAATCAGAAATATCTGACATTAATAGCATTTTTAGACTTTATATAAAATTGATATCAGATGCAAACTAGGATTATATTAGCAACTTTTTGTATCTAAAATGCTTTAATTCAAAGTTAAATTGTTATACAGTATCACTCACTAACATGGGTTTCTCACATACAAAGCCTCAGGACTTTAAATTTTGAAGGAATTTATTTCAAAATATGGATGCCCAGATAATTTGCATGATTAATGAAAATACATTTTGAATATTAAGCATTTAAGATGTTAGCATTTAGTAGGCTTTCTGACAGAAGTTAAAAGACTATTAGAATGACTGATGAATTGTTACAGTACATTAGCCCTCTGAACATGAAAGAGCTAGAGGACATTTATGTGATTTTGAGTATTCTTGTTTTGCCTTATCCTACCCTCTCCTAACTGAACTGTCCTTTTCTGTGACTTTGGTTGTTTTAAATTATTATGCAGAGATTTTTGCTATTTTGAGTAAATTGCAAATTCCATAGAAAATCATAAACATAAGGGCAAAGATAGAAACTGTATTAAATAGGATGTTGTACACAATCTCTGCCACATAGTAGGAGATTAATTAAAAATACACTGAAGGAGGAGTTATTCTCGTTCATGGTTACAATAGTCTTACTCAGCAATCAAATATAAAATAAATAAAATGAAATTGAAGATTCCTCCTTGATTAGCAGCAAGGTTCCTAGCAGTTTAGCAGTTTCTATCTAGAGAAGGGTAAGGACACATTCTTTCTATTTATTAAGAAGTGTGTTTCCAAATGATACTTACTGAAATCATTCTAGAACTTTTGTCTTTGATTGATACAGAGCTTATCATAGCCTAGTTGGTCATTTTTCCATCCTCTTGATATACTTGTAGATGAAATACGCCAAAATGAATCTACCAGGAGGTGTTTCTATCCCATATGAGTAACAAGTAAATACAATTGAAAATACAGGGCCACAGGGAGACCAAAATAAATTCTCAAGATGGGAACAATCAACTACATACTAACCTTGCTCTGGGCTAGACAATTAACATTTGTGTAGGTCAGTGTCAGTGTGATGACTGGATCCTAGCAGATGCCAAAGCCAACTACTTCAGCAGAATTTCCTTCATGATGTTGCTAAGTGTATAATTCTCCAGCACAAATTACTCCTGTGTCAGTGACCATGAGGGAAAAAAAATGTACTATTATATATCATCTAGTATCTCCCTGTTTGGTCAATAATGAACAGTAGGTGGAGCAAATGTAGTAGACTGAAATATTGCTCCAAAGGGCAAAGACATTAAATCAAGGAATCCTTCTTGTACTGCTTTTTGTGAGTAAAGGGTCCCTGAAAATGTATTTAAGGATCTTGAGAAAAGAATATCAGGCTTGATTGTATGGATCCCTAAATACAATCATAATTGTCAGTATAAGAAGCAGAGGAAGAGGTCTGGGGAGATGACAGAGCCAGCATGAGGACCTGAATTCAGATTCCCATAACCTACATAAAAGGCCAACATGGCCCACATCTGGAACCCAGCACTCGGGGCTGAAGATGGTGAATCCAGGAAGCTCACTAAGGAGCAACAGAAAAAAAGTCACCAGACATGGACCTCTGGTACACACACACACACACACACACACACACACACACACACACACACACACACCTATGCAGAGACATTGGCAGAAGAAAAGCCTAACGTATTACAATAGAAACATTACTTACTCCTTATTTTTATATGCAAATATTTTGGAAACTCACAGACAAAATCTTATTCAAGGTCATAGTAGATAATGTTGAACAACCTCCAATTCTGGATAACAGAAGTAAAGAATTAAAGTAGTTTTTCTCATAGTTTCAAAAGCAACCACTTGTACAATAAAGGTTGCTTAATTAAAATCTATCCAACTGAAACGCCATTTATCTGAAACAAATGTTTGTGCTACTGATATCAACCAAGTCTACACATGAGTAGCTAACAATAAACAATGGAATGAAGCCCAGTGACTAGCAATTAAAACAAATTGCTCTTAATAAAGTTTGACCTGAAAAATACACATTTGCACATGGGCAAATACACACATGCTTCTGAGTACATATGTCCACACCCAAAGCTTCTCTACTAAACTATAAAGGGTGGATGCATGTGATATGCATCTAGTATTTTATCCTGCACTTATTACTGAGGCATTAGTTTTTGTCCTTGATGAAACATGCAAGTCAGAAAGTGGGGTATACACAATGAGAGATACTCAGAATATTTAGACTCCTGGCCAGTGCAAAAGAAAAAGCATGGTGTCTTGGTTCAGAATTGTTAAGCATTTTAAGACAGAATAGTAGAGATTTAAACCAAATGTTAGCCTTTGTAAGAACACAGCCTTGAGTCAATAAATAAGTTATAAGACCTAAAATATGGCTGTTTTCAAGCATTCCTTACCAAGGGTTCCAAATGGAGTTTTCTCAAGAACCGTAACGGTACATGAGGAAAACAGAAATAACATGCCTAAGAGGCTGGGCTCATGTATCCTGTACACAGGCTTATATTAACTATAATGACATTCTTTGGTACCCATTAAAATTGTTATGATCAAAGATTTTCACGCTTGCTTGCTTTTGCTTTTCCTGTTCTAGAGAGCCTCACTCATGTAAGTTATGAGGCAGAGAAAATGATCTGTGTTCACCAAAGTGTGTTTATTAGGCTCCGGGGCATACCTCAGCTCTCTTCCAGTCATTTGAGTCCATGTGATGAGTTCTGGCCAAAGGCCGTGGCTGGACCATAAAAATCTCTTCTGAGACTCCTCTCCCCAGCTCTTATAGTTTTCCTTACTCTTTCATGGACTCCTTATACCCCTTCACCTATACAGCTAGACAAGGAACATGGATCTTGCTAAGGATGAACCCGCTATGGCTAGACAAGGAGCACGGAGCTTGCTCAGGAAGGAACCTGAAACCCTGGGCCATTTTCTGAGGAGAGTCATTTGTGAATGATATGGATCTAGGCCACAGTGCCATATAAAACTAGACTAATTTCTTCTGCTACCTAGTATGAGAGCATGATGAAAGATGGGAGTATCAAGTTTGTTGAATAACCCTGACACCTATAAGCCTTGGGTTACCTTTCCAGAAAATGTTAAAGTTGCCTTTTCAGTGGATGATTAAACAATGTGCTAGCCAATAGCCAAGATTTATGTTCTCATAATGGAATCAATCACAATCATTTTTAAATGTATACACTTATTTTGTCTGTAATTCTAGAGGATTCTGGAACATTGTGAAAACTTCAAAGTCACTTATCAAGGTTAATATGACCAATAGCAGAAATGATACATTGCCAAATATCCCTTCAAATCTTATATATCATCACTTTTCTGTTTATAAGAGTCACAGACTGCAAAAATTCAAACTACCTAAGGACACATTTGATAAAAAGCCCTGGGGTCTGGATGACTCTAAGTATCTGGGGACACTGATCTTAAGAAGCCCAGAGCTTGGTATTATCCAGAGGTACAAGGGGGGATGGCCAGAGTGCACAGGATAATGGCCAGTGTTCTTTTCCCTTTGGCTTCAGAATGTCAGCATTTATGGGAAAAAGTCGATCAAGTACTTACTGGATCTGCTTAATCAAGCATAATTGTCACCATGTGACTGGCAGTTATTGGAAGCTCCTATGTGATACAGTGCCAGAGTCAGTATGCAAAGAGCTACCTAAATTATAGACAGCAAAAGTCAAAAGAGCTATCCCTTCGTGTACAAGTCAGCATTACATAAGGAAAGAGCACGGCCATTGAAATGGGAGAGGTTTGCTCGGAGGCTTAATTTTCTCATGTACTTATTTCAAGTGCTTAAGCACCTAAGATCTCCCTTCTTCAGAGGTAAAAGTCATGTTAATGTCTACATGATGTTTATATTGAGCTCGTACAAGGAAGGCACCTAAGGAGGATTTTCCTCTGCTAAGTTCATTATTTACATGGTGTCATTAACACTAATAACAATGCTTATAAGAATTAAGAATGAAGAGGTATTTACATCAGGTGACTTTGAGTTTATCCCCACATCCTTCTCCCTCTCTAAAATTTAGGAATTCTCTTGCCCTGACTTTTTCCAAGGTACACTCAAAGTCACAGGTACCCTCATACTCCATTTCTCTGCACAGCAAACATATATACATATGTTACAATGTTTCAATCATCTACTTCTAAATTGTAGGAAATAACAACTCATTAAACATTTATGAAAGACTGAACTTTCACACCAAGAAGTTTAATGAGAGAAATTACTTCCTCATTTTGAACATTAAATGTTAATATAGGCACCAAGATTTATTTAGATTTTCTGGAGTGTTCTTAGGCTCCATATCTTTGTGTTTCACTTACTATGCTTTAAAAGGTCTGGAGTAGTTTTCTTCTGAATGAAGACTTCAAATTCTTCAAACCTGATGGAAGATATAAATTTAAGACTGGTTTATAATACATCTTTGAGATAAGACTCAGACATCATGAATGTGACTATTAATATAGTTCTACCCTTTCTCAGTAGGCTCAAAGTTGCTTCATGCTTTAATGTACATTGTCATCTTTATAATTAATTTATTTAGTAAATTTGCTATTTTAGACAGGCTAGGGTATTTAGCAGTATTGAAATATCCTACACCTACAAAAGATTCAATACTAAACTTTGGAAATGCCTAAAGGAACAAAATGTATTCTTAAAAATTATTTCTGGGCCAGCAAGAGGCTCAGTGGGGAAAAGCCATTATTGATGAGCCTACCAAGCCTAGCTAGATTCTTGGGACCCATATGGTAGAAAGCAAGGATTGATCCTGCAAATTTCTTCTCACCTCCACACTCGCACATGTGCGCACATGCGCGTGCGCGCACGCACACACAAACACAGAGAGAGAGAGAGAGAGAGAGAGAGAGAGAGAGAGGGGGGGGGGGAGAGAGAAAGGGGGAGAGAGAGAAAGGGGGAGAGAGAGAAAGAGAGAGAGAGAGAGAGAGAGAGAGAGAGAGAGAGAGAGAGAGAGAGAGAAAATCGGTTAATTTATTGTCTTTGCCTACGAATTATGGTGTTGAGGAGGTGTGTACACGAGAGCACAACTTTGTGAGTCTTTTCTCTCCTTCCACCTACGTGTGGATATTCCAGCTTTTAACTCATGGCACTAGGCTTTCCCAGTAAGTGTTTTATCTGCTGAGTCATCTTAGCAGGCCAACAAAGTGTATCACTTGACGTAAGGGAAATGTACACACTTGTAGATGTTATTGTGAGCTTTCAGGGTGTAAAATGTTGACTGCCCTGCCTATAAAATTCCAGCAAATATTAGTTGACACTTTCTAGACACAGAAAGCCCATTAGACACTTGACTTAATGAAACATAAGCAACATGGTCATCGCTATCAACAAGCTCCTAACCTAGTTGCAGATGTAAGTGGAATACCAATGACTGTAATGGTAACACAATCATGAACAAAGACGTATAACAGAGCCAGCTCAACAAAACAAGGGAAAAGTGTGGCGTTTGGAGGAGACAGAAAGACCAATCAACTGCCATAGTTAGATATTTACCTTCTAAGCCATGGCATTATAGCCTTTAATACACAACTTGCTTACATTTTCTTTTTCTAATCATATAATCTTAAAAGAAAAAGCACCATACAAACACTTACTGTAAAAGTATAGTAAGTTGTGAGATCACAACTACTTGGCTATATGTGATATAATTTATGAGAACAATTGTCAATTTGAAATAAATTGACCATAATTACTACAGAATGAATTTTAGTTCACTACAGTAAACAAAATGCTATATTCACTCCATTTTGATTGAGTTGTGAGTACTGCTTACATTTCAGTGATTGAAAGATCTTTTGCCAGTGTCAGTATTTTTATAAGCTTATTTTTACCTTTTAAAAAGCGAAATACAGTTTACTAAGTGATTAGTTGTGGGGCCAGCTGTCACATAGTGGGAACTGAGGATGTTTAGAGATTTAGAGTCACAAAATAGCAGGCCCAGCCCCACACTGTCCTACTTGCTAACAGAGAAATCAGAATTCAATATACAATACAGACACATACAATATGAATATATAAATATGTCTAAAGGCTAAGTTATCCTTTAGACACAAGAATCTCTACAGTTATAATGGTACCCAAACCAAAAAGAACCATTTCCATTCTAACCCTGTGAATAGAAACATGAGAAAGACACTCATATTTAAACTTTTTACTTCCAATTTACAAAATTTCCATTATTTGTAATAATACCACAGGTAAAATCCTGGGAGAAAAGAATTTCCATTTATTGATAGCATGTCTTAAATAACTATCTTATGGTATTATATACAGAGTACAGTTTGCATGGTGTTGGTTAACTCACCAACAGGAGAGTTGTGCCATGTCCTAATGATAAATGTCTGAAACAGAATGAATGTAGTCTAGTTCAATGTCACTTCCTCAAAGGAGAGGTTTGAGCCTAGAGGAATGAAGCAATCTGTCTATGACCATGTTTTTTCCCAAGCAAGAAGAATTCAGATTTGCATGGAGATATGGCATCAAGCTGGAGCTATTTCATACTATGCTGTCTAATCATATAAAGGACAGAAAGTTGTGAAAAGTTAGATATTTAGCAAACTTCTCCTGCTTGAAGTTAGGCATCATCCAAAAATAATGAGACTAATAACTTCTTTCATTCTTATAATCTTCTTAAATATATTTTTCAAGAAGAAAATTTTCCTAAGGTGAGACAAAAAGAAAAACCACAAAAGTGAGATAGAAGGGATGAGAGGAGAGCTTATTCAGTAAGGTGCTTAACCCAAAAGCAAGACCTGACTTCTGCCCCCAGGACCCAAGGTTCAAAGGTCAGGCATGGGTGCACTTACCTATAATTTCAGTGTTGGAGGTGGGGAGTCAGGCTAGGGAGTCATACCTAGGGGTCACTGGCAGACAGCCTTGCCTACTAGACTAATTCCAGGTCCTACTGAGATACCTTATCTGACAAAAAAAAGTAGCTTGTGCTTAAGGAATTATACCTCCTGACTTCACACACACACACACACACACACACACACACACACATACACACACACACACACACACACACACACACACACACACACACACACACACATACACACACACACACACACACACACACACACACACACACACACACACACACTCCACAACAGTCTGAATATCAGTGATCTTAAGTAACAGAATAAAAAATATCATTATTATATGCCTGACTTTTAGAATCACTGAGTGTGCTACTCATCCTTAGAATAAGCAAATTTACTATTCCAAATCTTTTCACAGCTTTCTATGAAATATGGGACCTATGCCAACAAACTTAAAGGAAAGCAAAGCTTTCTGTAAGGTGTCTTGAGGAATCTCTGTCAGGGCCTTGTGAAACAACACTTTTATGAGAACAGAGAAACTGAATTAATATTATTGGCAAATTGTTATTTATTTTTATTTGTTTATGTTATTTTTATTTTTTTGCAAATAAGAACTAATTAGTTGATAAGAAGTTACCAAGAAGATTTTATTTTATATGGTACATTTTGGTTAGGCTTCTGGAGTCTCAAATTTAAGACCCACACTTACCCTAGGACTCATCATTGCCTGATGATAATTACAAAGGTATGGTAATAGAGTGCCTTAAATCAAACCTGCACGGTAGATCTGCTATCCCTGCAAGAACCATCTCCCCGCAAGCTGGCAGCGAACGATGTGCTTGCCTTTCAATTGGCAAAGCAGTCTCCTTGGCTAGTATAGCAACCAGAGCTGCCTTAAATCTTCCTGAGCTACGCCCTGTTAGAGTAATTTGGTTAATTGAAAACGTCTGTCTGTGAAGAAATCTTCCATGGTGTCAGCGTCATTTGCAGGTTGCTAAGGAAGAGCTCCAGGGCAGTAGCACTGCCTGGCTGCCTGCAAATCCCCAACTGATCAACAGCACCAGCCAAAGTCATAGTAGATACGTAGACGAGGGGCCGTCCAATGGCAGGCCAGCTCCCCTCTCTTGCCAAATAGTATATATGAACAAATCAGCTTTGGGAGAACGGAATGCCTTCCATACAGCTGCCAATATAGATAGGGAATTCAAGCATGCCTCGAACAGTTCACTCAAGACGTAGAGTGGAATTAGAATATTCCAAAAGAAAATTGACTGACCATTTCTAATTTAAAGAATAAATCTATGTTACAGGCCACCTGATAGGAACAAGAGAAGGAAAGAGAATACTAACAGGTATACTTTTATAATCAAAATGGGGGGTACCAACTGGGATACCATTCTAAAGGTTGTATAGGAAGCCGACTTTAATAGAAGTACAATGAATGAAATGTTGTTCCTCAGTTTTATTTCCTCATAATTTCATTTCATTTTAAATGACAGTTGGCTGAGTGTGGTGGCACATGCCTGAAATCTTAGCACTAAAGAGGCTAAGACAAGAGGATAGTGAGGCCAAGGTTAGTCCAGGCTACATAGCAAGAGAGTGCCTCAATAAACTGTTAAATAAAACATTCTAAGGTGAAACTGAATTAGAGATAAATATACTGATCTATTTATGTAATGCAAAGACTGAGAGGCTGAGACAGGTGGATTGCGGGTTTGAAGTCAACTTGCTACTCCATGGATTCCAGGCTAGTTGCAGTTAAATAGCAAGACACATGCTCAAATAATTTCAACAACAATAACAATTCTGTTTTGTTTTTCCTGAGCATTTAAAACAATAACCCACAAGTGGAACATGAGCAAACGTTTGAAATTCCTGCATGAAACGTGGTAAGGGGTTAAATCACACTGTCCATTCTGCCAAAACACATCAGAGAATTCAACACATACTAAACAAAACAAGAAAGACAGTGTTTTATCTTGGTGGCAAAGAGAACTCCAGCTCTGGGAAGGTGAATTCCGTGTTTCCCATTCTTCCTGTCCAGGCCAGCTTTAAGGGCGGCTCCTTTCCTGCTCCCCTGGTTCCCTCAGCTGATCATTTAATCCTGGTCCTCTTATACTCTGTTTTCCATCCACCTGCATCCTATGGCAAGTCTGCTTCTTTACTTCTCCTTCAGACATGGTAGGGATTCAGGCTCACCCTTCTTCCATTTGGAGCGTACTATTCCAGTCTCCCCATTCACCCTCCGCCAGCAGTTACAAACATTCCCAGAGATCTGAAGAACAACATCAGCTCGGGAGCTCTGAAAACACAGTGCCATTCTTCAACATCTGGCACTGTGCCAGATGTGCCTCTTCTCAGTGTCTGTTTTGAAAGGATTTAATCTTTACTGAGCATTCTCTCATATGTCGTGGAGCCCATTTATTAGAAATGCCTCTCCAGTTAGGTGGAGATGTCTTCTGAAGTGTACTTGTGAGCTGATTCCTTGAGATTTTTAAATGCCTTTTCTTATTCTGTACATGAAACTATCATATACAGA